GCGAGAACAATTATTGATTGGCTTATTATTATTGCATTCAGTGTTGTAGACAATTTATAATCGTAGCACAAAGTTAAAATATGTGCAATAAGTGCAACAGGGCATGTGAGTGCCAGGATAACAGGAGAGAAAAGTTGAAACGATGAAGTGCAGTCAAAACGAGAAGAAGAAACCCTGACTTAAAGGCAGTGGACACAATGACTAAAAGTGGAGGTAACTTGGAGACGTCATTAGGGGCAAGCTTTCAAGAGGTGTCCTAGCCACCCTTCTAACATTCTGGGAGGTGTGGTCACATCGCCCACCAATACCTTTTCAAATATACGCCTTCAAGTTACCTTGGCACTCAGCCATTGTGTTTACGGCCTTTGCTGGAAAAAATGTTGACTGCCACTCGGCATTCTGGATAGGTCAATGAAAGAAAAGTGATATCTTAGATGTCCGGCCTTCTTACACCCTTTTGAAGACCAATCATATTTCCGATGATGTCGTAGAGCGTCTCCCATGCACGTGATATCTCTGGAGTTATCTGACCACCCATGCAGATGTTCAACACCTCCAGTAGACCGGGCACCATGTGCTGCAAATGAAACTTTGATGAGTTTAGCCCCCCGAATCATTTTCCCAAAATAACCTGGATGTGAAATTTGCAGATGCTCCATTTACAGTGACTGGCGGCGATTCGTCGAGTTGCCACGATCAGCTTTTCGTTGTCGTCCATGACGTCCACGATTTCCTTCAATGTTGTACCTTTTATTTCTTAAGCGACCAAGAAGAAGACAAGTTCCGTGAAGTTTCAAAGGCGGTGAAGGCTGATGTCACCTTTAGGCCTGCCATATACACCGTGGCATGATTTTTCAATTTATCTGAAGAAATGAGGGCGCTGTCTGGAATCTCGCGAAATTGTGGCCAAATCGTCTTGTATTGTGGAAACTCAGCAAATAACCTGAAAGATGTTCATTATGGTATTGAGTATTCGGCGTTTATCAATCCCTTTTGAGATGCGCCTCGCATTCTTCTATCTGCCTCGCTGAATTTTGATCTGGATCTGTAGCGTGTATTAATGAACTACAAGGCGGTCAGCCAAGTATGTCGATCGTATACATGTCCTAAACGAAAGTTATTAAAGGAATCTTCCGCGGAAAAAGCTCCGCCTCCATTACCACAGAAAAACGATACCCCTTAGGCCCCTAGCCTCATGAGCATAGCAAAAAGAACGGAACATAAGCGTTAGTTTCGATAATACTAATCCTACACACAAGACAAAATGATCACTCTTTCCGTGGAAGATTCCTTTAAGGTATCGTTTTCTGTGGTAATGAGGGCGGAGCTTTTTCCGTGGAGGATTCCTTTAACACATTGACGACCGCGCGCGTTTTGGCTTTTTTGGCCGTGTGGGACCGGGCCGATTTTGCGAGTGCGACCGCCGCACCTCGGATCCGTGAATTTTTATTGATAACTTTTTAAAGCACCAGTGGTACAAAAACATCTCAGTAACAGTCAATGCGTAGAAGGTAATAGAGTATATAGTGACGAAGTTCCGATTAAAGAACATGTAATGGTAATGAAAAAGAAACTTTTAGTCATTTTATCTGTAGTGGATGCCAAAAGCTCTTTTGATGTGGTTATACCAAGTGAAACATGTATTTTTTCTGTCTCTTTAGATTTGCATTTACTTTCACTACCCTTTTTTATTGACGTGTTCATGAGAATAGCATGAAAACTATTAATGAACCAAGCCGCCGGTTTCGGTGAGCTTGGAAAACTTCTTCTAAACTGGAGCATATTTGAACAAACAATGACCTATGTCGTTCACAATAATGTTATGTTCTAATCCATAGAAGAGAGACAAACAATTCGGGAAAAAGCTGCGCATGCCCTAGAAAAAGGGATGATAAGGGTGAGACGCGGTAACGCGTCTCAATGTCCAACGAGGTGCGCAAAGTGAGACGCGTTACCGCGTCTCAATGTCGTCAATGTGTTAAAGCACGATGCAGAAGGAAGGAAATAGAGGGAATTTTTTGCGGAACAGAAGTAGTCGGGTTTTCTACTTCTTCATCAGTTCTAAGTTAGTCTTGAGGAAGGAAGAGAGCACTCACGAATGCTTATCGTCTGTTACTGGGAAGCCAATCCTTTGTCTCTCAATCACAGGAATGTGAATGCATATAAAGGCATTGAACCATAAGTCAGATGGGTGTTTCTTGCACGAATACGAATGTACTATTTGACGTGCAAAGTGGACCTGCAGTGAAGAGAAAGGCGAAACATTCCTTGAATCGCTCAGTTAAGGTTCACTCACTTTATATCAGGCTTGTGCTGATGGCAGCCGAGAACCTAGCACGTCCAAGGATCGGAGGTATACACCGAGATGCTCGCCTCTTTGAAAAAATTTCCCGCGCGCGCATCTTCAAAGAAACTAGCAGTGGAGCGAGCTTTCAATTGGTTGGAGAGGTTGGAGACACCGCAGTTTCGGCTCTTTTTGTCAGATTTTGAGTTTGTTCTTCGTACTGGTACCAACGCAGGCAAGAGTAGAGATATTGCTCTCAGGTGAGAAAGGAATGATAACTAGGATGTGGTCGTACGCACAAGAGTGCTGGTAGGAAGCGTCTTTAGATAGTAACGTAATGTTCTCGAGGTATGGGAGTTTAGACACCACCACAACTGTACCTCTTTTGAAACCCACAAAAATCAATCATCGTTTTTCCTCTCTATTGTAGCACTGACTTAGTGTTTTGCGAGACCTTTTTTGAGAAATTATCCAATACTAGTGTGTTGACGCTATTCCTCGTTGAATACACACTGGAGGCATTCAAGGCTACTTACCGGGGAGTTTCTCGCTACGACTGCGGATTTTTGGGTACTTCCTTCCAGTTAATCGTGTGAGCAAAGCCCATTACCCTTCAAAACATCTACAGCGGTGGTTATTAAGGGTGTTCCAGTCAGCGACCTCAGCAAAGGTAATGGCATCGATTTGACACGAACACAAGCGAGGAAATAAGAACAGTTTTGGTGAACTTTCCAATGTATTTTTTGGACGCAAACTGCATTAGAGGAAATAAAGGGATGCTACTTACCAGAGCATCAGCCAGAGGATACTAGTGAGTGCCTATTGGTAACAATCAGAAGCTTGCCGTGAAATTTCACCGAAGTATCCGCCATTATTCATGGATTTCGGTTAGGTGCTCTCAATATGTATGGTGAGTGCGCAAATCCTTTTGAATACAGTGACTTAGTTGTAAAAAGTTCAGCCACCCTTGAAGGCAGACCAATCCCAGCAGTCTCCCTAAAATATAAAATGTGTAATAGTCATCCTCAATGGGGCTCATCCGGTGGAAATGGCAGCACGCGACAATCTACGTCAAATTATGGAACGCTCAGTTTTAGGACTGAGCCCTAGAGGAGAAGAGGGGCTCTGAAGTGCGTAAGCATGTTTTCTTTAAAGATTTCGTCTTCCTCCGTAGCTCAGTCCCAGAAGCTTCCTGCACTTCACCCCCTCCCCCCGTCCCTTGCTTCCTTTGCAGTTACAAGTAGAAGATTACCGAACAATTACATAGTGACTCTAACACCAGTATAGCTGGGAGAAGGCTCGCCCCAGTGCGACACTTGTTTAAACGAGCGCGCGCGGGAACATTTTCTCACAGAGGCGAGCACCTCGGTGTATACCTCCGATCCTGCGGAGCGGAGAGTATGAGGCGAAAGAGCGCTACAAATGAGAGAGCGCCAGACAACAGCCTGATAAGAGAAAAAATTCTGCAGCTCCAGCAGCTTACTTTGCAAGGCCCAGCGCTCTTGTCGGTTGGTTTCCGAACAGAAATGCCACATCCGTGGTTGTCCTCTAGGGCTCTATCCTACAGACCGAAGGGAACTGTTCTGCCTGAGTTGTGTCTTCGAGTAAGCAACTCATGTAAAGCGTATTTTTGACGTGGGAAGATCCCACATCCCACGTATCCTACCAATATAGGACCCAATCCAAGTACCTCGTCATCCACCCTGAGGCTTCCCGCCCTTAGCATTAGACCTGGGCAATATGCCCACTCATGCTGGTGTGGACCGTTCCGCAGACCAGGAAAATGTGGCAGCGTCCAAAATGTGAAGGCAAGCCAGGATGCTTCCCCACTACACTGGCTTAGTTTTCGATATCGTACATTTCAATGAGTCGATTACGATATCATGAGCCGCTTTTATTGTTGATTACTTATGGTTAATAATGGAGAGCATAACGGAGTGCCCCCCCCCCAAATCCACTTTCGCCGTTTGGCGCTAGTCGGCGTACAATGCAAAGTTCGATCCCCGGACAGCACCACATGCCAATAACTACATCACTTCCGCCACAGTCAGAAAAGCGCGACAAAGATCTACGGGTTATCGACGTCGACTTGTTGTGATCTGCAATGCTTTATATGTCAATCAGGAAACGGGCGTTACTTCCTTAGGCGAGGGGTGTGAGTCACAGTAATAGCGTGATGGATGCGCTCACTTCCCTCAATTCCTGTTCGAAGGCCCAGTCGACGACGATAGTCGCGATCTTTTCGATGCTCGCAATGACGCGCTTGACGGCATGCGGAATTTTCACTGTGATTTACTAACAAACGCTCAACATCGAATATGGTTTAGAACTGTGGAATTGCTGGATTAGACTCGTCTCATCACAAACCAGTCTGACCTAAACTTTTCCGAGCGATAATCAGAACTTGGGACAGTCCAGGTCAAAGTGACTTGTAATCAAAGCATAGCTGAGCGCTCTTTTGGTGCACTGTTATTGGTTTACCCCACTCATCATGCCAATCAAAGTCATCAGAGTCCATTGAGCAACCTAAAATCCGACCGAATCCACAAACTTGTGTTGTTCGCTTCAAATGTGATATGAATAATATGTATGTAATGGAGGGAGACGAAGTAAACGGTCAGTTACATAGCTAATTCAGAAGTCTGCTTACAGGCGATTCGTACTATGTCTGCAGCCTGGGGGGCGCGGCAAGAAAGGCGTCACTGTTCTCCACAACAAAACCGGAATGAATAACACGTTACGAACAGCCAGACAATATGTAGCTTAACTGTATATTGAAGAGCACATTCTATCTATCAAAAAGTTACACAACAGCCTTCTACACCGACGACATCAGAAGATTTTCCCACGGAAACATGGTTCACGGTACGAGCTCAACGAGGTCGTCGAGGTACCATAGACCATTACGACGTCCCTGAAACGCTGGTCAAAAGCGGTTTGCACAGTCACAGCTAGTGTCTCTGGAAGCTATTCACAGTTAATCCATTGAAGAAATTATGTAGCAGCTTCAGGCCGGAGCGATTACGGTAAGCCTCGTTGAGCTCGACGGTGACGGCAGATGACGTCATATTCTGAAGACGGTGAGGGCAGTGAAGGAGGGCCTGCTTCTGCTTATGGGGGACACCTAAGGAATATTCTGCCGTAAAACATTCATCAGCAGTGGCAAGAAAAAATTTGATGATGTGCGGCATGGGCAAAGTGACTTTTTTGCCCCCCCCCCTCCTGTAACGAAGGCAATAAGCAGAAGCTCAAAGGCAGGAAGTGGTGCAGTGACAAGTGCTGCTGTCTACCTGCGAGCGGTCCGGGATCAAATCCTGGGTCGTGAGTCGCCCGGGCCAACCAAGCCTTCCATCCTTCCGGGATCGGTTAATTGGTACCAGACTTGTCTGGGAAGAAAACTACTGAATTGTACATTAGCCTACTCCCACAAGGCCCTGTGAGGGAATTTTATCAGATATGGAACTATGGGGTAAGAACTGGACGGAGGAGACGTACACGAGGAGGGTATGGAAATAGAGAAGATGATGAAGAGGTGGCGATAGGCTGTGATAAGAAAAGGCTCCATTTCCTACGATGACTGCTTCGATTACTTTTCATAACACCTCATACTTTTAATAACATCCGGCTTTGAGCCAAATAACTGTCGCTACACCTAATC